ATTTGCAGTTCTATGGTCTGTTAACTTTTGTAAACTGGCTTTTGCTTTGCTTCGCGAACACTGGCTGTAAACTCTTGTGAAAACTTCTGGTAGTTCATCGACTACTTTTGCATGTTTGCAGTTCTATGGTCTGTTAGTTTTTGTAAACTGGCTTTTGCTTTGCTTCGGAAACACTGGCTGTAAACTCTTGAGGAAACTTCTGGTAGTTCATAATTATTGCACATATCAATTTCATACTGATTGTGCTTGTTTACTAATTATTAAATAACAGTATAATTATTTGTTGGAGTAGTCTACTAATAATAATAATAACCATCAATTATTTATATTTATGTTATGTATGATATGTGTATCTTTCATAGCAGTATTTGTATGCGCTAAATTTGATAAAGTACAAATGTCCCCCCCCCCCCCCCCGCTCCTCTGATGCAAGAATACCCTCTCAGAATCAAAGAGTTAGCACTGACATTTCTTTACTTTTGCTGGAACAACTTTTACTTTTCATCTAAACGTTATTGATGTTTATTTTCATGTTGACTGTAGCAAAAGCATTTTTGTTTGTCTGTAAGAGCCTGTATTGTTATATTTATTCGGCACACTTATTTACCTTATTTACGTATAGTTCTATAAAATATGTAGAAAATTAATGAAACTGTAGTTTAATTTGTGTATACATCTCCTCAATAAAAACTGTTAACACAGAGGGACTCAATTCTTGCACAAGAACGGGAATCCCCGTTGACCCAGTTGGACTATTTATAGCTAAATATGGCCGTGACTGTAGCGTTAAAATTGTATCTATGTGCCTGTGTTGTGCACTGAAATTTTTTTAAATTACTATTATTGTGCCTAATGACTGAATATATAGTAATTCATTTGAAATCAATCGATTAATCAGGTGCCGTCTCCACAAAGAAGATAAGTTGCAATCAATCTACAGCATGCTCTAACTCTTGATTCGTTGTAATCTTTCTCAGACTGCTGTTTGTCCATCTCTTGATGTTGTTATTCCACTTGATTCGTTGCTTACCTCTTACTGTCTTACCCTCGACCTTTCGTTCCCGTATGGTTTTTAAAAAAACATATGTTTTTTAATGTGGCCACAATATGTCGATTTTTTTTTCTTCTCTTAGTAATATTTTTATCATTCGTAGTCTTTCCAGAACGTCTGTACTTGATTGCTTTTTGTTTGAAATACGACTTAGTCTTCTGTAGATCCACATGTCCAGAGACTCACTTCAATTTCTTATGTCCCTATTCTTTGCGCAAGTTTCTGCAACAAAACAGCAGGGTTGAGTTTACATATCATTTGCAAATCTCAATTTACATTTTTTTTAAAAATCTCTCTAGCTGTCAGCAATTTGCGCATCTTATTGAAACAAGTTTTAGCCATTCCTATTCTCTTTTTATATTTCTGTTGCACTTCCGCCACCATCTGTTATTACGTATCATAGATAGGAGAAACCTGGGCTATCCTCCGAATAACGGTCCCAAATTATGGAGGGCGAAAATATACCTAACAGGGCCTCAGTCACATGTTAATTGCGGACCTCTTCCGGCGACTACACAGCATACCGCGAAAAAGCTTCCGCCGAGTTAAAGTCACTGCCGAGAGTATCTCGGGGCTAAACTAGATGGCTGGGACTCACGAGCAGCAGCTGCCGCAACTCATGCAGCTTCCTCCATTTTATTTGCTCGTGAGTACCAGCCATCTAGTTTAGCCCCGCACCGCGTTAACGTGGTCCACTAGATCAGCGATTTTCAACCTATGTGTCGCGACCCTTTTTTGGGTCGAACAACCCTTTCACAGGGGTCGCCAAAAATCACCGCAAAACAAATATTTACTGAAGTTGTGAAGAGGCAACGAAAATAATTGTATGGTTGGGGGTCACCACAACATGAGGAACTGTATTAAAGGGTCGCAGCATTAGGAAGGTTGAAAACCACTGCACTTGATCCTGTAACTGTTGACTTCCTGCTAGTATTACTGTGCCACAGCATATCTCATATATTTTAAATGGGGTTCTCAGTGGCAAAGTGGTCAAGTCGGTGGCCCTCGCTCTTAATGTCGTGGGTTCGTTTTACGGCGGCGCCGTTAAGTTCTCGAGTGCAATATTTATGGAACGGGAGCCGCGTTAGCGCAGTCGATAGGAGGCTCGCTTTCAAATTCAGCTGCGATTTGCTGCAGCCACGGTCGGTGTTCGAAACTGGTTCCCGGGGTTCACCCAGCCTCTAGAAAATGGGTACCAGAGTGACACTCTTGGGTATATAGAAGAACGTCGCTGTAGCTACAGAGTTACGCGCGGACGGCGACACAGACGGGCAGTTTCTTATCAGTTGTCCGTACTGGTGGCAGAGTACTTATGGTTTATAACCGTGTGCAATGAAGCTGGTTCACATCTCCCGACTTTACCTTTTAATATTTACAGAAATCCCCGGGAATCGTACGCCTGAGCTACGGAGGTCCTGCTCTGTGCGACGCTCTCGGTTTGCGACTAGCTGTTCTGCGGAGAGAAACTGAGCCATATGGGATAAAACCCGGTGCAATAAAGTTGATCATCCCACCTCAACCTTTACCTATAGATATTTGGAATAAAAACATGAAATACATAAACGGTGTGGGAGTACTTTAGACTCAGTCCCCTTAAAATGGGGAAAAAGGGGGGAGGGGGGTGTTTCTGGTGTTCATGGGATAGTTCAAAGACAGTACATCTTTTGACTCACTACTACCATAGATAGTTATTACATTTACCCACTGTACCCACATTCTTAACCCCCCCCCCCCCAACACATTCTGGACACATACCGAATTTTCTCCATCTAACCCGAGGATACTTTTCCAGGAAAAAAAAAAAGCAGCTACAATGCAGCTACATGGATATTCCCGAGGCAAGATATTCCTGAGGCAAGCAAAACGACACGTATCAGCTTCAGTCCGTATGTCGATATTTTCGTTCAATATCAACACAGTCGCTGAATACAATAATAATTACTTTCAGTTATTTACGGCAAAGTATTACCTAGGAATGTATCCTATAAATAAACAGAGGGGGGAACCATTTGAGGCCGTTAAATATTATGAATTAATCAAGTAACAGAAAGTATTGTGAACGGCACTCATAGAAAGAAGTAGAAAGATAGAAGAACACACTAGACAACATAAAAATCGAAAGCTATAGTTACCGGCACGGTAACTATAGCTTTCGATTTTTATGTTGTCTAGTGTGTTCTTCTATCTTTCTACTTCTTTCTATGAGTGCCGTTCACAATACTTTGACGGTAATTATAGCTTTCGATTTTTATGTTGTCTAGTGTGTTCTTCTATCTTTCTACTTCTTTCTATGAGTGCCGTTCACAATACTTTCTGTTTCTAGGAATGTATGCGCACACCACCTGCTATGTGTAGGATAAGAAAAATAGACACGGGGATTACAGGGGGGAAACAAAAAGAAATAATGCATGGCTGTGGGCGTGTGAGTGCGGGCTACTAAGACAGACAGACAGACAGACAGGCAAACAGACAGATAGAAAGGAATCAGGACCCTCTTAACGCAAGGACCCGCTGGGCGCTTCCACGGTGATCTCAAGAGTCTCTTTCTCTCTCTCTCTCTCTCTCTTTCTCTCTCTTTCTATATATATATATATATATATATATATATATATATATATATATATATATATAATCATTATTATCAAGTCTTTTGCCAGCTGGCATAGGCGTTAATACATCTCCAGGTTTTTGGCGTTTTGGACACACACATGAAATCGCCAAGAACAGGTATTTTTGCTTGTATATTGCTAGTGTTTTCTGTAGGTATCTTTCTTGCCTCCTGAGTTTTGCGATTTCGTAGACAAAAATAAAGATTATGGGGTGAGAACAAAATGACAACTATTTAGGTACACCAAATAGTTGGCCGTGGCACGGGTATTTATTCGTCGTCAAGGTGGATGTCTGTGAGACTGCAGCCCTAGCCAGTCACCAGTTGTCATTTTAAGCCAGTCTTTTTGTTAAAGAGCACTAGGTTCAAAGGGTGCTTCAGATCTGAGCTTAACATCAAATATGCGCAAGCACTCCGAAATTTGATCCTGTTGGTGTGTGCGTCATGAAGGTTCTACTGTTTACACAAGATGTGTCTCTTGCGCACCCCAGCTTCATTTTGCACTTGTCTAGTCTATCAGACTAGGTATCGCTGATAGTGAAAATGGCTAAAGCATATTTGATGGGAGAAAGAGCCAGTCGATGGAGCTGAAGAAGAAACAATCGCCGCTCGACGATGGCAGCGGCTAGGTCTTTCATTGATGGCAGGCCCTTGCAAGCATTTATGATCACATTGTCAACGCCATCAAACTTCACTCCGAGATATATCATCAGATGGGTTCTTGTCAAAGCTTCACCACTGATTCCCACTGCTTGTAAGTCTGCATGACCAAGAGCGTATTTGCCGAGATTTTTGCAGTTTAAGGTTTGACATGTACATTGGAACCCGCACACCAGTAGGAATGGCAGCCGAGTTGCATTGTACTGACAATTTCCCGAAGATCTCTTTCATGTAGATACACCAAGATGTTGTCAGCAAAGAGGAAGCCCCGTCATTCTCAGGCCACACAAGTTGGGTAGAAGTGGAGACAACGGAGAAACTGAAGGCAATACTGGATAGTAGAGGTATGAGGACAAGCACCCATAGATGAGCACCACTATTCTCTGGAAAGGTTCAGAGACATCTTCAAAGACAAAGAAGGTACCAAATTCAGTGCACGCATTTCGTTCTTCTTTGTGTTTGTATTTTCAGATTGTGAAGCGGACACGTAGGTGAAGCCGATAAACAATTCGACCGTGTGTACGTGTTTACTTATTTAAAAAAAAAAATATATCTGATAATGCTGCCGTTACTTTTATCATGATCTATATTAAGAAGACACAGGATCAGCTGGTGGCCCCGTACCCGCACGGGTTGAAAACCACCGACATCCTGATAAACAATATCACGTGGTTAAACAACATGGCGTACACAGAAGCCAGACCAGAGATTCATGCCAAGAAAAAGAAACAACGAAATGGGGAATATTCGGAGACTGTGGAGCCTAGGTTTGAAGAAGGACAGGTAATAAATTTAATAGATGTGACTGAACAGTAAAATAAAATGTGTATACTGATTATTTGTTGCAGATTATATCCGTCGGTTCCCTTCATTTTTATTTATTTATATTAATTTAATTGTATATTTTACGTAATAATAATGAATGAACATTTATAACATTAATATAAATTCTAAAATTCTTAGAGCGCAGACAACTTTGCAGTTTTCTCAATTTTCTGTATCCTGTTTAATAACTTCTGGGTTCCGGGTAACATTTTGGGGGAAGCAAATAACAGACTCATTGTCCCTATAACAAGCATCGTAAAAGTAAATTAATTTAAAAAATCACAGAAACCAGCCAACAGTCTGCTTAATCAAAAATATCGCAAATCTGTAAAACGGAAACTCATATGCACGCAAAACTCAAGAGTTCTGAATCAAGACTAAACTAAAATCCAGAAGTGGACGAACAACCACAACTTTCCACTGGAGTTTACAGCCAGTGAACATGATTTAATTTACCTACCATTTTGCCAAACTATCCATCTTCTCTGTCTCCAACTGCCCCTCTTCACTTTCAGCTTTTCTGTTATCAGGCAGGTACTTAAGTGAATTTTTCCAAAATCCTCTTAGGCTAAGAAAACAATCACAGATAGACAGAAAGATTTTACAAATCTCTGGCCAAGGTGCCTCATTTATGCCTGTATGTCAATTCTAAGCCAAGATATCAAGGTTTTAGTAGAAATAATATACAAAAATGACAAAATAACAGTGGCTAAAACTTGCTTCTCAAAAACAAGATATTTTTTAGAAGTGTTTAAAACCATTGTGGCTATTAAATACTGAACAGAACCCCCTAGAAATGATATATTTATAAGTACGGGGTGACAAATTCTGACTGAATAATCAATCATTAAGTGTTAGGTTATTACATAATATTGACTAATTATTATTCACAATGGCAACAGTTTGTCATAATCATAACTCACTTTATATGATAGGATGCCATCTAGATCGCAGTATTTTTCTGCAGAACTCTCTATGATATAGGGAGAACAATGGAAGTAACAAAGGAAATGACCCACAGGGGCATAGGAATAAAGGAAGGCCAAAAAACACAAGGAGAAGAGAGCTGGAGAATGAGGTTAGAAAGATTGGGAGGACATGGGGAGAGCTCCATGTAATAGCGAAGGATAGAACGACTTGGCGTGAGTTGGTTGAGGGCCTATGCTCCATTGGGGGATAGAAAGGCAGAAGAAGAAGAAGATAGAACAATCAGTAGGCAAAGAACAATCAGTAGGCCAAGAACAGTCAGTAGGCCAAGAACAATAAGTAGGCCCTATTGTATTGAAGACATTTGCCAATGCCCGCATTACATTTCAAAATGGCTGCTTATTAATTTTAAATTCACACATTTTCTAATGAGCTTAAAAATTCATTAAATGAGTGCGCTGACTTGGAGCTAATAATGATACATCCCTGCTGGGGCAACGCAATTTTTACATTAACCAAGTTTTGGCTCTCCTCCGAACTTCTACCCGATATTATGGCGGCTGAACAAATATCCTTACGGGGCTCATCCTATTAAAAATATGCGAACTTCCGGCGACAAACGAATCGCGGCAAAACTAGGATTACCTGACAATTTCAAGAGACGCAACACTGCAGACGATAGTAGCAGACGATAATAGCGACCGTTGACACTTTCGAGCGTTTCTGCAGATGATACTAGCAGACGATACTAGCGACCATTGACAATTTCGAGACACCCAACATTACTGATGATAAAAGTGACATGGCGGGGAGACCATGTGCGCCGACGCAGATTAGCGCCGTTGTTGTCCTCCAACTTTTCGGCATGCGCAAAACGAGGTGGATGAAGACCCAGAACTTTCCATTAGAGTTCAAAGCCAGTGAACGTGAAGAAGAAGAATTAGGTTTGTGCAAGACACACATTTTTGTGGCCCCTACAAATTGTGAGGCTCTTAGCTGCAGATTATTTAGCTTATAGCAAATCCAACTCTGCCTGTGTCCTAGTTGTTTCTGTAAATATTTCTGCCCTTGTTATCACTTCTAGTGGGTTATTATTTCTCTCTGTACTTGACTTTCCTCCAGAGTTTACAGCCAGTGAACATGGAGAAGAAGAAACCTAGTGGCATTAAAAAAAACACACACACACACACAACCACAATTATAACTTGTTTTGTCAATTGTCATATCTGAGATTTGATATGAAGGATTTGCCACAGCAGACACATTACAGTACAGCTACACTTGACATGTTCTGTAAAGGTATTTCAATTGTCGTATTTGGGATCTGGTATAGAGCCATCGCAACAGCAGATATGTTACAGCAAAACTAGAGTGGTAACATGTTTTGTAATTATGTGTCAGCTGTCATATTTGGGATTTGATATGAAGGATTTACCACAACAAACACATTACAGTAAAAATAAACATATTCTGTAAATGTGTTTCTGCTGTCATATTTGGGATCTAATATAGAGCGGTGTCCGTGGCTAAGGCGTTGCGAGTCTGATTCGTAATCCAACGTACCGCGATCGAAACCTGCGTGGGCTACGTGGATTTTTATTGTGGTATGGGGCGTTGCAGGTCGACCCAGCCTCAAATGGGTACCAGGATGGGCTGTCCTGGGAAGTAAAGACAGCCGGCGTAATGCTGACCACATTACCCACCAAGTGCTGATGGTCTGTAAAAAATATGGGCGCTCTTCCCATATGCCTGATACACCTAAAGGCGTGGAAGGGATCTTTAATTTACTTTTATAGAGGCCTTGCCACAGCAAACATTACAATACAACTACAGTTCTAACATATTCTGTAAATCTGTTTCAGTTGTCATATTTGGGGTCTGATGTAGAGGCCTTTCCATAGCAATTACAGTTCTAATATGCTCTGTACATGTGTTTCAGTTGTCATATCTGGGGTCCGATATAGAGGCCTTGCCACAGCAAACACATTACAATACAATAACAATTCTAAGATGTTCTATATATTTGTTTCATTTGTCATATTTGGGGTTAGATATAGAGGCCTTGCAACAGCAAACACATTACAATACAATAACAATTCTAAGATGTTCTGTAAATGTGTTTCAGTTGTCATATTTGGGGTCAGATATAAAGGCCTTGCAACAGCAAACACATTACAATACAATAACAATTCTAAGATGTTCTGTAAATTTGTTTCAGTTGTCATATTTGGGGTCAGATATAGAGGCCTTGCCACAGCAAACACATTACAATACAATAACAATTCTAAGATGTTCTGTAAATGTGTTTCAGTTGTCATATTTGGGGTCTGATATAGAAGCCTTACCCCAGCGCATGGTGGAGGACTACTGTAACATCACCTCAAGGCTAGACCTGAGTTTCAACAGACTCAAGTAAGTTCCATTATTTTTCAGATTATGTATTAAGTAAATATTGACAGTTGAAAAAATACACACAAATACATGACAAAAGCTTTGTATCAGCTGTCTTCTTATCTTTCTGCCTCACCACTTAAGTGGTTGCACCTGACTTCTGCGCAGTGGGTTGTTTTTTGCTGACTGCTGGAGGAATCATATGAGACATTGTACCCTAAAGTGTGAAAATTACATGCAAAATAAAATCTCTTTTTATTCATTAAAGAGCAGATGGAGAAGATTGGAGTGTCAAAGGACTGAAGATAAAAATTTTGATCAAAGTTTTTTGTTTTTATTCATATTTAATGTACTGCAAAATCTAGACAGATGACTTCTTTTTCTGTTATGGATGAGTGCAGGAAAGTTATCTGTTCTCTGTCTCTGAGCTGTTTCCTGATGGTGTGGCTGACCCTGCAGCTTCAAGAGTCACATCCCGGATGGCAGTCCAACAGGGAAAATCCCATATACCCCTTCAGCCTTTTAAGAAGATACAATAGGGCACCCATGCCAGCTAAACTATGTGTTGTACCCTGCATAAATAGTTTGTCAAGAAGCAGGTGGAGGGCATCAGGTTTTGTGAACAAAGCAATGGCTAAGCTAAAAAAAACAAACTCATAGCTATGAAAAATTCTCCCAGGAAGAGGAGACTCGAGCTAACAAAAACAGTGCAAGTCATAGACAAGCAGTTCATCTGGCTGACTGCCATAGAAGACTGCTGAGGATTGTATCCAGATGACATTTCAGATGTCAGTCATACCAGCTTAAGGGGTTAGGCAGATAACTTAATATAGGCAATGTGATACTGACTGAGCCTGTTTTATGGAACTGTATTTTGTGGTACTTAACCCTTTCTTACAGTAAAACTCTTAAAACATGTCCTTTCCAATTGTCTTGGGGGGAAAAGGCAAAGAAGAAAAGAGAAATCAATGAAGAAAAATAAGCGGTATAGCAAAAAGAATGACAGTTTTATAAGTTCAAGAGGACTTGTATGTACTGGGAATGCCAATTGTGCAGTGACATCGATTGTGATAACATAACAACGTAACTTCTGTCCATCTGAGCAATCCAAAAGTTTTATCGCAGAAACAAATTTGAACAATTAAACTTTTAATTATTTATTTCCAGAACCTTGAAAGGCTTAGAACATTTTAAATTTCTGAAAGAACTGGTACTTGACAACAATGAACTTGGAGACAGTGTGGTATTTCCCTGTCTACGAGATTTACATACTTTAACTCTGAACAAAAATAAAGTGAGTGTTTGTTATATTATGACTGTTTTTGTGTATAATTGGTTATAGCTACTTTCATAACATTTTCTTCTTCAGATTGTGTCATATCTAAGAAGCGAGGAACCATATGTCTGCATAGAGTAAGCTAGAACTGTAAAACAGATGTGCATGCAAAACTCAAGTTCTGGGACAAGATTAAAGTCTAGAAAATGGATGAACAGCCAGAACTGTTCACCATTTACAGTCGTTGACGAAGAATAAGATTACGTGTTCATCATCATAAAATTCTGGCCCACTAAACACGTTCTCTTTACAATGCCATTTTCTTTTTAATCACATTTGCTAAGTGTCAGTTTCGTTATGGGTCACTAGGAGGGAGGGGGGGGGGGGGGTTGCGTTCACTGTTACTGGTATTCAACAAAAGGCAATAGCCAGTCTGTCTACAGAGGGAATGCCGTGTGGTCCCATACCATACAAGGCATTCACTATAAGAGGGGAGGAATGGATGTAGATCATGAACAGGATGATAGGTCTATGAACTGGTGCGGCCAGAAAATCAAGAAGCAAAATCTTATCATCATCATCATGTGCCCTGCCAACTGGCGTAGGCGCTAATACATCTCCACAGATCACGATCCCTGGTTGACTGGAACATCTCTCTTGATGATATCTCTCCATGCCATTGTTTTAGTGATTGACTGGAATAGCTGTCTTGATGAAATCCCTCCACGCCATCGTTTCCAGCGATTGACTGGAACAGCTCTCTTGATGATATCCCTCCACGCCATCGTTTTAGCCCATCCAGCATCATCTCTCTTGGCCTGCCTCTACCCCTCTTTCCACTGATCTTTCCAGTTGTCATAATGTTCTCCAAAGTCTCTCTTCTCATTATGCGGCCAAAGAACAGTGTTTGTCTCTTTCTTATTGTTGTAAATAGAGATCTACTTTCATTAGCCTCTTTCTTATAACTCCCTCAGTATCGGACGCGAAAAAAGAGGGAATTAAAAATATTACCAAGTGTACTGGTTAATGCCTTTTCCTCTTTTTTTTTACGTCAGTGACATTAAACTTACTTTTCTGTATGTGACTCACGTCAAAATAGACATATAGCATAAGCGGCGAAGAAGACAATGGCATTGAAAAAGAGTATATTTTTAGTGGCCACAGTCTATAAACTTTCTGTGTGGGTTGCGTGCCCCATGTGGGAAGGGGGATAGAGGATAGACTCACTGCCACCCTAACAGTCATGTTTTTAAAGGCAACTAATTTGTGTTTCGCTGAAATATATGTATATATATCAAAAGGCACAGAAATCACAGCCTAGCTGTAAACCAGAATGTAGTGTGCCAGCAACCTCACATTAGAATATGATCTTTGTATTATACTACTGTAGAAATTCATCAGCACAAATTCACTGAAGGCAATCACTAGTTAACATAAACAAAATATTTCTCCTAGCAGTGGTATATTAGTATTAATCCTCAGCCCAAATTTGTTTAACACAAAACTCTTTTATTCCTTTGGAATTCATGTTAGTGAAATTTTACTGTTAAATTTTACACCTACAGAAAAATAATACCAGGCTCTTTCTGCTTGCTTGGCTATCAGCTTAACAGTTGGTGACACCAAGTATTTGCAGGTCTGTCTGGATATTATCTCTCCATAATGTTCTTGGTCTGCCTCATGGTCTACGACCACTCATCTCCCTCATGTATACAGTTGTTACTTCTCTGTCATCTGCCATTATTTCAGTGTGCCCCAACCAAAGTTTACCATACCACCCGGAAATGAAAAAAGTCTCAGTTTGGATGACAGACCTTCCTGTGTGGGTTCCAGGGCACCGTTGTGGAGAAAACAAGACTAATAGGGGGCATCCTTTGAAGTTGGAGTGCATTTGTCTGAGAGGCAAGGAACCAAGAGTCTGCATACAAATAAGCCAGATCTGTTAAACGGAATTGCACACATCACACAGCTTGTGGAACTAGACTAAAGTCTAAAGGTATACAAAAACTAGAATTTGTCACTGAAATTTATGTCCGGTGGACATGAATAAGAAGAAGACTAGGGATGACCAACCAATAAGGCAGACATAGCCTGTTTAACCTCTAAATAAGTTATAATTAGGGCATCCATGACAGCTACAATACCCAGAAGTAACCTGCAGTCATGTGCAGGTAAGGACATATGTATATCTCAGACAAACAAACTAATTTACTATTGGTAACCATTTGCATTTCTCCTTCAGTTAACAGATTTAACTGGGCTGTTACAACAGCTAGTGGACAAATTACCCAACCTGACTTATCTCAGCCTCCTTGGAAATGAGGCCTGTCCAGACCAGCTGTCATGTTCTGATAAGGACGATGAAGATTATCAGAGATATAGGTGAGAGCCAGTCAAAAAATTTAGGTGCTTCTTCTCCTGTGTGCACACTTAAAAGGGCAGCTGGCACGTTGTGTTGCAGTTTACAGCTAGGATACAACATGTGTGGCCTTTATCTGAAGTCATCATATTTCATTTAGCACCTAATTAGTCATTTGTTTTACCCATCCCCCTCCCACGCCCAGCCCCTCACATAGGCTCCAGGAACCAACACAGAATTTTCATGATGTTTGATTGTAGGTGATCATGCACCTCCACAAACATCTTCTCTATGTTCTTGACAGATGTAACAGCCCATCTCATCTGATTCTGTACCACTGTATCAATCCATCCAGCTTTATCCACCTCTGTCGACATGTGCCTCTCATCAGCATCATCAAGTGCCTTGCCGATTGTCATGGGCGGTCATGCCTCTCCACAATCTGCAGTCTTCAGCAGCATGTATCAGTTCATAGGCTGACAGTTCCTCCATGCAATGACAGAAGGCTGTCAAGAATCTTTGTGTGTTGTCTTCATCTGTCTTTTTTTTTCCACAGATCTTTCCAGTGGTCACATGTTCCAGTTTCCTTATTATAACATGACCCAATAAAATGATGACTGTCTCTTTCTGATGTTCGTAATTGCTCTTCGAGCCCCTGCCTGGTTAAAAACATCTAGGTTGCTTGGGGGGGGGGGGAGTCCAGGGAATTCTAAGGATTCTTTTTTAAAACCACATCTCGGAGGCCTCAAGAAATTGTTTGGCTTGATTTTCAGTTGTCTATAATTCACAGTCACATATTGAAACTAGCTCTAAATAACATGTGATAATTCTTTTTCTACTTTCTCTAACATTAATATTGTAAGAAGATACTGTGTAAAGTCAGGGATTCAACACACACAACAGGAGAAAGTCACCACAAGTCATGAGCTGGATGGCGCCCTCTCCCTCCTTCCTTCCTGAGTGAGCTTTGTTTGAATGGGTTAAAACATTTACAGAAGGAGGTGACTTGTGATAATCTGAAGCTCCTGTTGTGCTAGCTCTCCTGGGGATTTCTCACTACATACTTATAAAACACAGAAATAAACAGATGGGTAACCATTGAGGCCGTGGAAACATTATGTACAACAACCAAAAAGACTTTGTATTGATCAGCACTCACAGAAGTTGAAAGAGAGACACACTAGACAACATGCACATTAAAACGGGAAACCTGTAATTCCAAATGACGACTGTACCTTGCTGCAGAAACAAGTGTACAAAGATGCATGACCATGTAGGCACCTTAAAAAGGTGTCTTATGAGTGCCAATCAATACATTATTTATTTGTTGTATCCAAACTGGTAAGAATGTACTGCTGACACTGAGAAATCTGATTCAGAATTGTGTTATTATTATTTCCAGATATTACGTGCTGTACAAACTGCCAGGTCTGAAATTTCTGGACTCCACACCTGCAACCGCAGCAGAACATGCAGAGGCAAAACGTGTTGGGCCGTACATGCTAGTCGTCAGACCAAAAGATCGTGATTTGGAACAGGTATTTTGGAATTTGTTGTTTGAGATAAGTATCTCTGGTGATCAACACAGTAGGCTTCATCATTGTCATATGCCATGCAGCATTATGGGAATCTTTCACAACAATCATTGATATCTTTGTTGTTGGTTTCACAGTTGTTCTTCTTGTCCTCATTGTCCAGCCTTCTCTGAAGAGCGGTTGCATTTTTTACTGTGGTTTCCAGCAATGCTGCAGTATCTGCATCTTTCTGCTTAACACATCTTCCTTTGGCAAATTCTTAATGTCTCCTTCTACAGCATGCTTGTTAGGAGGCAGTCTTCTTCTTTTTCTTCTTCTTCTTCTTCTTCTTCTTCTTCTTCTTCTTCTTCTTCTTCTTCTTCTTCTTCTTCTTCTTCTTCTTCTTAGTACTTACTGACGGTCAACTCCAGTGGGAGGTTCACCTTTCCTTTCTATATGATCCCTTGAAAATCCTTTGGTACTCATTTTTATCATTATATTTTCTATAAAGGGGATATAAAAAGATTGACTGGAAGAGCCAGGAGCATTTGTGGAGATATCCATGTACTGTGAAAGTGATCCTTTACAAACCAAACTTTTTCTGATCCCTTACAATGAACCTGAATCTCTCTTTTTTTTAATCCTTTACAAATGAAACAACTTTTTTCTGATCCTTTACAATCAAGCAATATCTTTTTCTGATTATATATGACTATACTGTTTCTTTTTCAGATCTTTTACACTGAACAAATCTATATATCTTTTTTATCCTTTACAAACTAAATTATACCTTCTCCTGATCCTCTACAACCAAAACAACTCTTGTTCTGATCATTTACATTTACCTTTTCCTGATCCTTTACAAACCTGACAGTATCTCTTTCTGGTCCTTTACACAATAAACAATATCTCTTTCTGATCATTTACAAACCAAACTGTCTCTCTTTCTGGTCCTTTACACTCCTTAGGTCACAGATTCTTCCTCAGGCAGTTCTCTGAGTAACCAGTTTTCACCACTTCCTGAGATTTCTACAGATCAAACTGACCATCAGGGTAAGTGTTCTTTCAGATATTTTCAATATCTTTTACGTGTGGGAAGGAAGCATGGTGACAAAGTGGCTAATGCACTTTTCTGCCAAGACAGTGGTTTGAGTTTAACATCCAGTAGATTTATAAATCGGGCATGGTAGGTTTACCAACCAATATGGACGGTTTACCACCTCTTCGGCTCTAGGAGCAAGCATCACTTCAGAGGTCCGGGTAGTTAGTATCCTTTGGATATTCTCTCCCGGTCATACCGGTGTGCTGGGAAATAAGCAGGCAGATAGACTTGCCGGTTCTGCACCACTTGGTGGTGAATTGATGTATGACAAACTATAGACTTCGTGTGAGCCCTTTGGGAGCGAGTGAAAAATGCAAAAGCACAAATAGATCTTTGCTGTCTGAGGAGAATGGCGCTGCAAGAAGTTACCAGGGGATCTGGCCGACGCTTAACACTCAAGGAAAGGGCAAGACAGATATACAATCAGACACAATTACTAGTGCAGTGGGAATCGGAATTCATTTGCTGCTAAAGATGGGGACGGAGCGCTTATGGGAGTGTCATGAGTGCTACGATGTTGATTCCTTATTCAGTATTCAACATTTGGCTATAGGATCCACCCTTCATGATAAAAATGGGTAGGAGATGTCCTACTTCTTCATGTTCACTGGCTGTAAAGTCCAACATAAAGTTCTGATTATTTGTCCACTTCTAAACTTGGTCTTGTCGCAGAACTTGGATTTTGTATGCACATTCGTTTTACATATCTGTCTTACTTATATGCATACTGTTGGATCCTCGCCTTTAAGGTAGATGCACTCCAACTGTGAAAAAGACACCGCTACTTAGTGGAGGTGCTCGGTGATTTTCAAGGAATGGCATGGAAAGGAAAGGTAACAAAGAAAAAGTGGCAATCACACCTCCTGTGTTAAAGTCTAGAATATTTGAGGTCTAATACCTTAAACCTCGTTGGCTGTATCTACCTTTCTTTTTTTTTCTTTTTTTCTGATATCCAGAAACCATGAGTTGTAAACCTTTGGCTCGATACTATGGATATCGCAACCCTTCAGCCTTGATTCCATGATAGATACTCTAAATTTGGGAGAAATATGTCTTTTCTGCTCACCCCGAGCGTGAACCAGAAGTTCTTCAGCGTGTCATGTTGAACCAGCTAAGCTAGCGAGCGGGACCTTACTTTTTTGTAAAGGTTAGTTGCACATCCTTTACAGGACGTTGCAGAACCAATCCCAACAGCCCCTGTCTGTTGTGTGGTTTCTCTAGGCAAATTTACGTCCAGTAGTCTGCCATTGCTTTCTGGACGGTCGGCTCTCTGATACCACTGTCGAGACCAACGCAAGGCACATAGCCCGCAGCTGGAATCGAACCCGGCACCTATGCATTACGAAGCGTTCGCATCGGCATAGCCACAGAGCCGATTTACTTTTATATAAAGTGGGCATGAAAAGATGGTAGACTGCTATCATGACAGGGGAGCCGCAATTGTGTAGCCGCTAGACACTTGCCGCAGATCAGGTCATGGATTCAGGTTCTGACGGAGCCATCTTTTTTCAGAAATTAACTTGGCTGTCAGGTCAACTCATCCTTGAATGGTTACGAGGTAAAGTCCTGGGAAGTAAAGTTGGCCGGCATGATGTTGACCACAACCAGATACCTTTTGACCTATTAGGGTTAGTCAAATACCCCTGAATGCCCAATACACCTGACGGCGTCGATAAAAAGATCCTTTACTATCATGACAAGAGATTTTTATGTAGGAGGAACTTTAAAAAATGCTCAGTGAATTGTCTGGGACTGAGTTAAAGCCAAGAGAATTTAGTTCTTTGGATTGGGGTTTATCTCAGATTGTTCAGTCTCTCTCTGCAGAGTGACAGTTTAAAGAGTTATTAGTTCTAATAAGTATTGTGAATTCTCCTTGCAGGTACTTTTGGGAAAAGCAAATACATTTATTATGGCCGGCATTCAGAAGGAAACAGATTCATCAGAAACAAAGATTTATGAAGCTGGCACAGTGCCATACTCGAGACCCTCCACCGAAATTATCTGCATATAATTTAAATATTTTTATGAGTCTTTTACACGTCTGATAATGTTTTGAAGGCATCTGTAACTTACTATTCATGTAATGCATTGTTAATTACTGTGTTGTAAATGAGAGAAGTTAAGAACTGCTGATAACTTTTTCTACCCTTGTACAATAGAAGGACATTCTTCTGCGTTTGCCCTTGAAAAGGCAGCTGGCATATAGTGTTGTGGTTTACAGCTAGGCTGTAACCTTTCTGCGCCTTTTATCAATTTCAGCACAACTTTAATTAATAGCCTCTTATGACCTGCTTGTAAAAGGCAGTGGGTCTATTCTTTTTCCCCAGACATGGGGTCCCGCAGTCCACCGGGGGAGAAAGAAACTCATTCTAGGTGTCTTCACAAATTTTCATATTTGGTATACAAGATGTGGGTGTTGCTCATTTACCATTGTCACTTGGATTATCTGCTACACTTGCTTTGTCCCTTGTGAAAATTTTAGTCTTTGCTTCTGGGTTCTTTCATAACATCCTACCCCAGATGACGTCACAAGACAGTACAACATTTTAGAGGGTGGTAAGACTGGATTTACCGGCTTTCTGATGATTTTAACGACCCCAAAACATTTAGAGAACTGGCCCTAACCCCAACCCACCTGTGTCCCACGAGAGAGTGCAGCATAGGTCCCACAACTGCATGCAGCCTAGCTTCCACGACTGCATGCAGTCTTTCTGCCACCTCCCCCCCCCCCCACCTGAAATATTAGACTGCCCCGTGACCTGTGGATTTTCCCTGTTTGGAGTAGGTTATTAAAAAGGCACTGGCTTCAGAACTCTAAAACTCATGATCACACCTCCCACACAAAGACAGGTAGGGGCTTCTTTTAAAAGATATTATTGAATAGAAAAGTCATATTTGATCACCGGATAGAAGAGTCATAGTTTGTAGTCACTCAGAGGAAAAGTCTCAGTGATTCACTGAATAACTGGATAATCAAAGATGCTTGTTTCGGAACTTTTTCTCAGGATAATGATTTATATTTCCATTCTGGCTGATGTTGTTGGCTTCCAAATACTTGTTCATTATTGTTTAGATTGTCAAATCAAGATCTAAAGTGCATTATTTTGCCTTTCACATATCTATATTTGTTCACTTGGGGGCATTATAAGGTCCCTGCTGAAGTGGTCATTGTTGACCATGCAGAAATGGAGGCCAGCAGACAACCCAGTCAGTGCAAAAAGTCAACACATATATTAACATTAGAAATGAAGATAATAGAAGACTAGGGCAGAAACCAGTTGTCTTCTTTTGTCGTCTCACTGATACCAGGTTGTAGCCCAGTGTCGTGGTTTTCTGTATTTGTCTTGCACATCTTGGATGGCTTGGGTGATGGATTTGTTCATCTATTTGCAGGCTTTGGCTACACCATTTATCCACATATTTCTTGGTCTTCCTCTCGCCTTTCTTCCAGATGTTCTGCTGTAAAAAAGTCTCATGTGCAGTTTGGCCTGGCTGCATTCTCACTAGATGACCGAACCATTTCATACTTTTTCAAGTTAGTATAATCCAGACATTGTCATATTTTAACTTTCTCTCTAATGTTGGTATTTGTAACCCTGTCTCTTCTTGTGTCGTTAGTTACCTTGGGGAGACAGCGCATTTCACATGTAGTTATTTTCTGTTTTAGTGCCTTATTCATTGTCCATGTTTGGCACTGATAACATAATGTAGAGATAAAGATGCTATTAGTCATTGGCTGTTTTGTTGGAAGGGAGACATTTGTGTGCCTAGGTAATGGGGCTGACTGACTGGTAGGTGACAACATTTGCCTTCTGTATTCTGGCTTCTATCTATCGAGTCTCCCATCCTCGGTAAATATGCTTCCTAGATATTTGAATTCACATACTTATTTGATTGTAGTACTGTTAACATGAACATCCATGGTATTATGTTTTCTGCCTTTTCTCATTACCTCAGTTTTCACAGTATTAATTTTCATATCATACTTGGTGCATGTTTGATGTAAGGAGTCCATATAGTGTTGTAAATTCTGATTTTGGTGGTGTGGTACCACCAGTCATACAGTTCATTAAAAAGCAACATATGAGGTGGTTTGGCCATCTGACGAGAATGCTCTGGCACCAGCCGCCACACATTTAAGAAATATAATAAACGCAGAGTGAGGGGAAGACCATGCAAAAATGCGAAATGACGGCATCAAGAACAGCCTTAAATTAAATGAAGATAAACTTATACAATGCATTGGAAAGACCCTTCGATATCCTCCTAATACTTTGATGAGAATACTGGGTGAGGAAAAGGAAGAAGAATAAGTGTGAATAGATTCATTTCAATAAGATTCCCATGTGGGTTGCTAGTCCCTATTATAGGGAAAACAAGAATAGACCCACTGCCTAAAACAGATGCACATGCAACACTCAGGTTCTGGAACAGGACTGTAGTCCAAAATTGGATGAAAAAACAAGAACTTTCCACCAGAGTTTACAGCTAGTGAACACGAAGGAGAAGAAGAAGATTTTAATCTTCTTCTTCACGTTCACCAGCTGTACACTCTGGCGGAAAGTTCTGGTTGTTCGTCCACTACTGAACTGCAGTCCTGCTCCAGAACCTGAGTGTTGCGTGTGCATCAGTTTTACAGATCTCATTCTCTTGAATACAGACTGTTGGTTCCTTGCCTCTCCGGCAGATGCACTCCGACTTCAAAGGAAGCTCCCCAATTAGTCGACTCTTACGACATGCTTTTGGGTAGGCAGTGGGTCTATTCTTGTTTTCCCCTACAATGGGGCCCCGGAACCCACACGGGGGAAGATTTTAATGAGAAATCAAACACAAATTTCTCAAAAAATTACAACACCTCACATTCTGGGGTGAGGCACGCAGGCTTCATACTTCCTCTTTCATGGTCTTATATTCGCTTTATTCTTAGTCTCAGTGTGAACATGGTCACTCATGTATACTGTTGTCAAAAAATCCTCTCATAATTTTTCAGTTTTGTAGCAGTTAATCCCCATATTACCACTATGACAAATATTAAAGTGTGGTTTGCTTGTTCTAGTCTTAACTTATTAATGAACTCTGTACAGATACTAATGTTACGTTTATTTGTATATTGACATGCTTGTTGAATATTTTAACACAAATTAAATACTAATAATAATTTTTTACACAAGGCTGAAATTTAATATAATTATTGCATGCTGCATTTATTACACATTGTAACATTAGTTATAAATCTCTATATAAGTGTCACATAATTAATTTTAGCCTCAATAGTATAGTGGTCAGTTGTAGCAAGTGTGTCTTGTTTCTCTCTATCATTGGGGTTGTATTAAAGTGGTATGCAATCATTTGTTTTTCAACTGCAACCATGGAGGTTTAGTGGTAGGTTATAACAGATGTATATTTTGTTTATCACCATAAGGTCTTTTTTTCCAGGTAGTGTGGAAAATTATGCAGTAGCGTTATGCAGTTTCCTAACCCTACTGTAATACTTATTTCTTGGTGAGTGTGAGCACCTTTTTAGATACTTTTTGATGCATATCGGCTCAATTTTTTTTTGTAGAGAAAATAGCCATGACCACGATTATTAAAGTTTTAATAAAATGTAAGACAATAGAATTTTTTTACTGAAACCATGATAATGTAGTAGTTATTTGTACTGCCTGTATATCTGATCTTTCTCAGCTTCATTAGTTTTATATTGAAATGTTACGCCAAATTTTTTTCCCCCCAGCTGTAGTCGTGATAGTTCGTCACTGGTAGCAACTGTCTGTGGTTTCTCATCATCATTACGGTTGCAAAGAAATGTTACATGATCTTTTACTATCTGAACTTTAGCCATGATAGTTTTTTTAATTATAGAAAATGTTTCTTTTGTTTCTTACCATAATTTTATGTCTTAGTGAAATGTTGCACAGCCATTGAATTTCCGCCCTTCTCCTTACTTTTCACTTGTAGCTAGTTAGGGTGTTTTAGTTTGTGCACTTGCTCATTAGCGCAATAATCGTGGGTTCCATTCCAAGACAGGGTTGAGGTCGTTCTCTCAGAGGCCAGCTCAGTCTTGTAAAATGTGTATTATATGTCATGGAGATTACAGATGGTCGTCGGTAGTGGGTAGTAAGGTCAGGTAGTAACTGGTGCAGAAAATCTCCAGTCACAGCGCCTCTCCTTCCACCACCATATATATTTTTTTTTAAAGACACATACCTCATGTGGGTTCCGGGGCCCTCTTATAGGAAAAACAAGAATAGACCCACTGCCTACCCAAAAGCATGTGTGAGAGTCGACTAATTAGGAGATTCCTTTTAAGTCGGAGTGCATCTGTCTGAGAGGCAACCAGCAGTCTACATACGAATGAGTCAGATCTGTAAAACGGATGCACACGCAACACTCAGGTTCTGGAACAGGACTGCCGGTGGATGGACAACTAGAACTTTCCGCTAGAGTTTACAGCTGGTGAATGCGAAGAAGAAGAAGAAAAGGCACATTTTTGCCATTTTGTCGTTCTCCTCCCCTGCACCTTCCAGTGATGACACACAAGGCAGCCAGCAACCTCCGCTGATGTCTTGGGCTAAAAGGTGCTGATATCACAGCCTGGCTGTCAACCACAACACAGCAAGCAAACCACCCTTTTAAGGGTGAAAGCAAAAAAAAAAAAAAAAAGATGTTTACCTTCATCATCATCAAGTGCTTTGCAGACATGCATGGGTGATTATGCTTCTCCACAGTTTGCAATCTTCAACAGCTATTTGGGAAAAAAAAAGGGGGGGGGGAAGAGAGGATAGGCCTACTGCTTTTTACAAGGATGTGATTTGCAGAAAGGTGGAGATATCACAGCCTTGCTGTAAACCATATCACTTCCCTCCATGCCATGACAAAAGGCTGTCAAGAATTGTCTTATGTTGTCTTCCACTGTCTCTTTTCCCCACAGACCACTGGTAAGATTACTGTAGACTGCA